AGCATGACATTTTGATTATAAAACAAAGTTTTACTTTCGATTCACATGAGTGTTCAATAAACATTGCTGATTGAATCCTTCTGTAGTTCTATTTGGCCCATAATAGTTTGAAAAGGATATGCTGCCGCGGAAACCTGTTGAGAATATATTCCCCGCCTTGTAACAACCAAAATAAATGATACAAGATATGTCCTCATCTGAGATCATAAGCAATTTAAATCTTCCCCGAGGAGAATTTTTATACAATGCTACCAACACACTCCATTCTTTTTTAGTGATACCAGAACATCAGAAATGTAAACACATTGATGTTTAATGATAGTGATTTCAGCTCCCCTTCCTTATTCAGTCTATAGGACCCAGTTTAACGTTGATTAGAAAATAAGTTTGAAATTCAAGTACGGGGTAATGCTAAGTGGTGTTCATGTTAGTGATTTACATTATAACTTTTTTTATTATGTATCAATAGGATTTGTGAATTTCAAATCTAACACTTTAAATATCATACTATCAAACTTAAAAATCATTTATTTCAATGGCCTTAAAAGAGAAAACCCCAGTTCCTATAAAACACTAACTGTATTATATAGTCTTAAGTACATAGATGTATACATTAATAAAATAAAATGAATACTATTTCATATAAATGAAATGTATTAGATTAAACTCCCTTAACAAAATGCAAGCTTAAAAATATCCCTGACCGAGAAAATAAATACATACAGAAACAACTGGCACAATCTTACTATTTTTAATTCAATAAACTACAGTGACACAGACAGCTTTCTGTGTGCTGTTTTACTCATATGCTTTCTACTTTAGGGCAAAGCAAATAAGTTCTTTTCAACCATTAGAAAAGACTGACCAAAAAATGCAGTGTTAATGACATCTTACTGCTTTTAAAAGCAAGACAAAGATGCAGGAAAAGCAAAAATTACATAGTGATTGAAAACAACGAATAAATTGTTCTTTCAATCTAAGTCATGTTTACTGAAAAAAGGGAGCTTTTTACATCAACATGTTTAAACAGAAATTTGCTTTTGAAATACAATCTTTGTTTAAAAGGTACAGAAGGTCTTTATGTCCACCCCAAGAGCTAAATATAGTGAATGCTCTGTGAATAATTACCTGAAAAAAACCTAAACATGTTAAAAGAATTAATTTACTGCACACCAGTCAGCATTAATCCCACATGTACAGTAATGTTCTCTTAAGTGATGGGGGAAAGAAAATAAAATGGTTTCCTGGATCAAAACCCTTCAACAACAAAATGGAATGTGATTTGGTCTGTAAATGAATAAAGTAGTGAAAGGTCTCCTAAACAAATTCTCATAAAGGAGTCAACCTGTAAACAAATACATTTACTGTATTCTGGGACTTGAAAAAAGCCATCCCTGTAAGGGCTGTACAAAACCTGTGTCCTGCTGTTGGGTTTATATTCACAGAAGAAAGGTTTTAAAGGTTAAGTTCAGGTCATACAACAAATGAAATTGTAACAAGCCGGCTGACATTGTATAATGTCTTCTTCCACTCAATCAATAGGCTACTATTAGTCCTATTACTATAGAGATGGTAATAGGAAAGACACTCTTTCCTGAAGGGTGTCTATTTGACATAACAGATTTGCCACTTGAACTAGGTTGTTCCCAAAGGGCGTGTACCTTGTCAATTATTTGTATTCAAAATAATGAAGTATTTTCATATTAAAATGTATGTAAGAGATAATATTGTTAGATCCTTTTTCTAAAAGAAAGGAACTTTTCCAAAGTACTATATTACTAAAACCACTCAAATATCCAGTTGAGTCATATTAAGAATTTATGATTCTTATGATTCTTGAATTTGCCAGTCCCTCAGATCAGAAGAAATCTTCTGAGAGTTCTTCTGATCTGAGGGACTGGGAAACCAGGTTTTGAGATTCCCCCTCTTCCTTGGATCCCATCTCTTGCTCTACCCATGCTCACCTCCATTGACATAAAATAAGCCTGAATTCTGGACTCTCTGAAGATGGGTTTGAGAAAACTAGAAATCTCCCATCTTTTTGTTATAGTGACATTTTGATAAATGAAACCTTTCCTTAATCCAAACTCTGATAATCTTAAATATTAAATATTTGATGTGCCGAGAAAATGGGCTGCATTTTGTGACTGCAAAAAGCAGCCATTGATGATTGTTTCCTAGATCCACTATTTCATTAGGGTTGCAAAATGGACATTCCCATTTCTACCATTCTTTTATTTATTAGCTGGAATTCTATAAAGAGAAAAAGAGAAACTCCTTCATGAAATGTTTGGTTACCATAAGGTATAGCAATATGGGAAAGGCAGCAGAAATGTTACCAAAGGCAGAAAGAACAGGGCCACAGGGAGATGGGGACAGGAAAGGAAGGAGAAAGTGTGTAAAATAAAGAAAAAGGGAGATGAGAAAAATCCCTAAGAAAAGTTGCAGCTACAGCTATTTTTCATAGATTATAACACTATTAGCATTGAAGGCAGGGAAACATTTTCCACCCCCTGTGTCACAATGGCAGTCCACACATGGGAATCTCACCTCCTGACGGGGAAGAGTGGTCAGCAAAGACCCACCCCCTGGGAACACCTGCAACACCACCCCTGAATATTTTGCCCCCTCATTCAAATATACAGTCCTAAATTTCTTTGTTCTTCAGTGCTGTTGCCTTTTTTCCTGGCCTGCCCACTCTTGCCACCTTTAGAGTGCACTGTGCTATTTTCTTTCTTTTAATAAATCCTTGGCTTGCTTGGCTTTATTTGCATGTTAATATTTTGGTACATCTTGGAATTCCTTCCCGTGATATTTACCAAGGACCTTGTCCATCTCTGCTAACTGAAATGCTTGATTCATTTGCTTTTTTTACAAGTTTAAAAAATAATGATTTGATTCCTTAAAACTTTCCAAAAGGTCCTAGAAATGTTTCTATCTTGACCTGCATGGCAGATGCACAGGTGTGGGAAATAGGGGGGAATGCTATTTACCTAATATTCATGTACTTTATATGTCATACCACAATTAAAAAATTAACAAATAACCAAAATGTTGTTTATATTAGAAAGGTGTACTTACTAGGAATACTTTTAATATAGAAGTACAAAGCAAAAATAAATGTTAAAAGTTTGTCATGAAAAAATATTGGTGAGGATAGTTGCAGGGTAAAAGGGACACAGTGGTCAATGTGTGAGCCATGATTGTAACCTGCTTCCAAATAAAACAGCAAGAAAAAGGCATTTTGAGGTAATTGGGGAATTTTGAATATGAGCTGAATATTAAAATGATATAGAATTACTATTAATATTCCCAGATAAGATAATGGTCTTTTTTAGAAGATTTATGTAATGTATTTAGGTTTGAAGTGTCATGACATCTACAATTTTTAAGTTGTTCAGCAAAAGGAAAGTCTATGAATTTATATTGTGCACAGAAAGATTTAGCAAATACTGCAAAATACTGATTTTTAAAACTAAGTGGAGGGTACATATGTGTTTCTTGTACTAATTATTTAATTCTTTTTTAATCAAAAAAGAAAACATCAAATTTAATTTAAAATTTAAAACGGAAATTGTCTGAAAAAACAATGGAGCAAATCAGCTTCTAAAAAAGAGTGTTGCATCTTGGTGATCACATTTATTGGAAGGGTTGGAGGAAAATAAAAATGCCATTTAGCTTAAGAACTTTTAAGTAATCTATCTGTGTATCAGCTCATTTCAGGAGTGGAAGAATCCTTGGTCATTTCTTAGTATCAAAATTTACTCAGGTTTTTAAAAAATATATATCTTCTACATTTAAAGAGGCAATCATACAAAGCCTCCTATTTGCCATACAGGATAAATTCTTTGTTTCAGCCAACTCTCAGCTGAGGGGCAATCATCTCCCTGGACAAAGAGCATCAGAATATTCTGTTTTGTTGACTCGTACACCTCTTCATATGTTTCTTCATCAATTTCTACAGTAGTCACAGTTGCTTCCACATCTCCCAATATTATATTTAAATGTTGATCATAAGCATTTAATCTACCTCAAAGCTCTCTGTCATTTCTCATTTCCACAAATTTTCATAAATTTGCTCACCCAGGCTGAGCCCGATGAGATCAAGGGGCTCTTCTACAGAGTTGGTAGTTTGTTACTAGTCCATGTTGTCCACCATATTTCTCATTCAACTCTTTATGTTAGAAAATTGTCATTAAAAGTTGGAGAAGAATGGCCTCTGTCAGTAAGTGACTTGGCTGGGGTCTTAAGGTTTGTTATTAACTAGAACCAAATTCACTTACTACATTGTAGCCAAAAGAAAGTTTCCATTTAAAGTTCCTTTTAAGAATTGTAAGGAAATAAAACTGTAAGCAAAGGAGAACAGTAAAAAAGTTAGAAAGCTTCCATTTTTGTCTTGCTTGTGGATGTTCTCACTACTTGCAATTGGATGGTCACAGAAGCTCAGAGCAAAATCATATTTTTAAAAAGCAGTGACTTGTTTTTTACTAGCAAATAAGAATGTAAAGGTAAATATTACCTATAATTTTACCATTACTCAAATATTATATCTGTTAATTTTTTAGTGTTTTCCTTCCAGGTAAATTTCTCTATGTACACGAATACATTCATGTATGTGTATATGTGTGCATGTATATGTACACACATTGTTCGGTGAAAATGGAATCATACAGTTTGATACATTTTTATTTTTATGTAACATTTTAACATGTTATATAGTAGTTTAATTTTACATAACATGTCCTTTGGATGTTTTATAAAATATTTAAGCAGTCCACAATTATTTGGTATCAAGATGTTTCTAACTTGTTGCTGTTAGCCATCCTGTGGTAAAGCTCCTGCATTTAAATCTTTGTGCAATACAGGATGATTTTTTATGATATAGTTCTAGAAATAAGTTTTTGGGTCAGGTACATGGACAGTAAATGATGTATGTTTTCATGTGTGACATTGGCATACTTCCTTCTTTCATGTGTCCCTCTGTCCACCTGTTTTCTCAGATCTCTGCCTCTTTCTCTGAAGAACTGGAAATGACCAAGTCCCTGGTGAGTTCTTATTTATTTACATATTTTTTGTTGCTTTCTTTTATTTTCTAGTGAGTTTTACAAAGCATCTAATAACCCATTTAGTAAGATGGACCTATATAGTATAAATAAAACCCATATAGTATAAATTGTCACGTCCTGCGTGGCAAGGGCAAATGGGTCTCAAGAGGAAGGAGCGACACAGATTGAATAAAGTCAAAGAGACAAAAGTAAGATAAGAGCGAGACCAAGGGACTCAGCCAGAAAAGACTGAGCCCCGAATCGGGTCAGCGCATGGCTTTTATTGAGAATTTTCAAGGAAGTAAAACTGCTGTCAATTAGCATCCGTATAAGATTTGTGTGCCTTAAGGCCTTTTTCTATTAACATATCCCATTGTGTTCCAACAAATGCTGTGCCTTTACACATCTGCCACATAGCCCCAGAACACTTGTTACTGTGTCCTCTCAGGGGAGATAACTATTATCATTCCAATAGGTCCCAGTCACCTGAGACACCCCCCAGAGAGAGCTTTACCGGCCTCTGTCATACCAAGACACTCCCTCAGAGAGATTACGTGCCTCAGTCATACCAAGACACTCCCTCATAACTAATAGGGTTAGAGGCTAATGCAGGGGGTGGGGGTGGTATTGGAATCAGTTGTAAGGCAACATCTCCCCCTTTCTGTTTATGTAGAAGGAGAAACATGGATTTTGCAGTTTCTTTATCTATGGCCCACCGGAGGGTTTGTTGGCCACACCAGTGCACTAAACAAAACAGAAATAAAATAATGATTAGAAATGCAAAAGCACCAGCAAAACCTCCACCGAGGTTTTTTATCCAATTGAGTGGATTTAGAGTAGATAATCCTTCCGCAGCCGCAGCCACTGATAGGGCATCCTCTCCAGGGAGGAGCTGAAGATTAGCAGATGACATTTGGTCTACTTCTTGCTGTAATTGCTGGATATTCACAGGGAGGCTGGGCATATGACCCAAAAGATGAGCTCCTACCTCTGACCAGGGGGTACGTGTCTGATTATAAGAAAAAGGAGTTACACAATAGGTGGAAATATTCTAATCACATTTTAAAGTAATAATAGTACGGAGACTTTCTAATTGGTTTCCCAAATAAACCACAGTGGTTTCCAAATCAGCTAAACGAACACTAATTTCTTGATCAATTTTCAATTGTTGGTTCCAAGTTTTACTAGCATTTTTATGCCATTGTTGTACAAATTGAGTAGTTTGAACTGTCTGATGGAGAGCTACTTCAGAGACGGCAGCAGTGGTTGTGATTGCTATAATTCCTAAAATTGCTGCTATTAAAAGGCCAATAAATCTTTTAGTTCAATGTAAAATTTTATGAAGTATTTGAAGAACAATATGAATTGTTGGAGAGCCTTCCCAAACCCTAGAGGTTTGAACAGGAATCCACAATCCTTTTCTACGTCTTAAAATCATAATTTGATCTTGGGGATAGTTAAGAATTGAGGAATTAAGACAGGTAAATAAGGGGCCGGCCGAGTGGCGCGATGGTTAAGAACTCGCTTGGGACGCCAGAGGGCCCCGGTTCAGATCCCACATATGAGGGCCAGTG